ATGAAATAAAATAAAATAAAAGTAAACTAAATAACAAAACAAAATATAATAAAAGCGAATGGAATAAAATAAAGGAAAATAGGACAAATCAAAATGAAGGTAAATAAAATAAAACCAAACAATAAAAAATAAATAAAACCACATTAAAAATAATAAATTAATATAAAAAAAATTTCATTTAAATAAAATAAATGAAAATGACAGAAAAGTTTAAATCAATAAATAAAAGTAATTTGAAACAGAAAAAAATAAATTTAATGCAATAACAGGAAATGAAATGAAATAAATCAAGAAAAACGTAACTTAAAAATTTAAATAATTAGATGAAATAAAATAAAATATAAAAAAATTAAATTAACTAATGCAATAATTTAATGAATTCAAATAAAATAAACCAAAATGCGGTAAATTGAAATTAAAGTAAAAGTTAAATATGTATGCGCGTAAAAATGTATGAATGGCTCTAAATATTCAAACACCTCTAATTGTCCATAGCTATGAGCACTAATACAAACACTCAGCACAATTAATATACGTGTTGTCATGTACAAAACCTTGAGTAACGCAATTATCCTTTAGGTTCGCGCTGCAGGCCACAAAAATGTAAATATATATGAACTTCAAATATGTTTTGCTTAAATACGCACAAACTTCAGTAGTTGACTGCTGCCCTTCTACTACTCCTAACATCACAACAACATCCCCATTAAATCGTCAAGGTAATCGGAGAAGCGCAGAAACTCGCTGACCAAGCGTTGTAAGTGACTAGAGAAGCGCTATAAAGCATACTACACATGGTAGACGAACATACATGTATGTATATTTTGTTTATTATTATTGTTGTTGTTGTTGTTATTGTGGCTGTTGTACTTGTTGTAATCGTTAGTCGCCCCGTCCATATCATTAATCATAATTTGTGCTTGTTTACAATAAACTGATAGAAGTTTGAAATTATGTGTACATATTTTCAAAGCAAAAACAAAACAGACAGACTCAGTTCATGTCTATTCGAAATGTATGTTGTAGTGTTGTATTGGTTAACTAGTTAAAAAAAAAACTTTTAAATTTATTTTTTATATAGCGAAACTCAGAAAATAAAACCTGTTTGAGACTTTAGTTAAAACCTTCTAAAAACAGCCAGCAGCTAAAGTCAACACTAACTCCGTTAACGTTGTTGCCATCGCGGCATTCACTGCTGCCATAAAGCGCTTGTTGCGTTAGAGGCAACAACAAAGCGCGTGCAACACAAAGTGAGTGTCTTGGAAATCAACTCAATTTCATGGTTGCATATTCATACGCATGCGACTTGAAGTTGTGCATAGGCATGTATGTCGGTATGTACTTTTAGAATGCCAACAACAAGTTAGCAACTAATAAGTATGTGCTTGGTGGTGTTTTATTTTGAATTTTATTTAAAAATATTTAATATCATGTTCTTACGCCAAAGCTAACTTGCATCGTACGAACAGTGACCAGCCAACGGCGGGTGGTAATGCGAATGTGTTAACAACAAATGCTCGCCGGCGTCACGCTTCCCCTTGAACAGTTGGATATTTGTGTTGTTTTTTTTTTTTGCATTTTTTCTCTTATTTTCGCTTTAAGCATTTTGCGCGTGCGCGTGTACCTCCGCCTTTTGTGCCAGTGTGCGCTTGCATCTTAACTACAGCGCACGTCTAGTCTAGTACGTTGCAAGAGAGGGTGGTAAAGTTATAGACGGTTAGAGCAGCTAATACTGCTTAAGAGCTTAGCGACGCGTTTGTGTGTATGTGTTTGCTGTGTGAAGGTTGCTCTTGGCAAGCTGATTGCTTGTTAAGCACCTTCGAGAGCCGACGATGTGCGAGACAGCGTGTCTTTTGGCAAATTAGCTGTTTGATGGCTGGCAAAGGAGATTTGCTGTTGGATTTTTTATATTTTACATTTTATTACATGAATAATTTTAAACACGATTAATCAGCGAATCTGGGAAAGCGACATACGAGTACCACAAAACGACCGTCAATCGAGCTCTGTTGTTGCTGTTTTTGTTGTGTGGTTTGTTCAACCATATGCACGAACATAAAATAAAATTAAAAATAAAAAAAATATGTCAAATATAATTAAAATTAATATTAATTTATTATAAATAAACAATAAATTAAAAGAAAGCAATATAAAATTAACTAAAAGTAAATAAAATAAAATAGAATTAAATTAAATTATTTTAATGAAATTATATTATATTAAAGCAAATTAAACTAAACTAAATTAAATTAAATTAAATTAAATTAAATTAAAATTAACTGAGCAACTAAATTAAACAAAATAATGTAGAAATATAAAAAAATAAAAAAATATGATTAAATTAAAAAAATGACTATGTAATTAAATTAATTTAAAAAAAAACTAAAGAGAATAAAAAAATAATATAAAAACAAAAGAAAAATAATTTTATAAATAAAATAAAATTAATTAATCTAAGCTAAAAGAAAATTTAATAAAATAAGACAAAATAAAATAAAACAAAATAAATTGAATAATATAAAAAATAAGTTAAAATAAAATAGAGTAAAACTAATTAAAATCAGGAGAAATTAAAATAAAAAACCTGAGTTTTAATTAAATTAATTGAAAAAAACAAAAAAAAAATTAAGTAAAAAAAAAATAAAATAAAAAAATTAAAATGAAATAAAAACAAAACAAAATTAATTAAACTTATTCTTAATTAAAAAAGATTAAAAAAATAAATTTAATTAAAAGGAAACTAAATTAAGCATATCATATTAAAACAAAATAAAATAAAATAATTTAAAAAAATAAAATAAAAAAAAATAAATGAAATGAAATAAAGAAAAAAAAATTAAATAAAAATGTTTATTAAATCGAACAAAATTAAATAAAACTATATTAACTTAAAGAAATTAAAAGGAAACTAAATTAACTAAACAAAAAAAAAACAAAACAAAATAAAATAAAATAAAACAAAATAAAAAAATAAAGTTGAAGAGAATAAAATGAAATAAAACTAAATAAAATGAAATAAAATTAAATAAAACAGCATAAAATAAATTAATATAACACAAAAAGCAAATTAAAATAAAATAGATTAAAACTAATTCATATCATAATAAAAGACTTTAAAATAAAAAGAATCATGAAAACGAAATATAAGATAGTAAGATAGAAATCAGGAGAAAAGTAAATTAGTTTTTATTTGTTTTAATGGTGAAAAAATTAAAAACTTGAAGATCAAAAAATTAAATTTAAATAAAATAAATTTAAAACAAATTAAACTGAATTCAAAATTTATTAAAATTAAAAAAACACTAAAAGATATTTACAATAAAACGAAACGCCGCTAAAGTAAAAAGCGGCGGAGAAATAAATATTTTACAAAATATTAAAATTGGAGTTGAATTTGCTTATATATGTTGCCATCAGCTGGTATTATTAGTTTTACTTTTTTCTTATATTTAGCAGACATTGATTGATTAAGTGTTAGCGTTGCTATAAAGCAGAATTATAATGCGTATATATGCGTTAACTACGTGTATACGCACGAACACATTTAGACCTGCATATACACCAACGGGTTTGTTTCTTAAATCTCTTGTTTATCCATTTGATTTTCTATGCTAAATATACAAACAATACATGCTGCCACCCTCAAAGCCTGAAGCTGCCAATATACATACAAACCAAGATGCCTCACATACACATATGTGTATTTACTTTTATTGGAAACTTATTGAATATTCATTAATATTTTGTTAATATCTAATTAGCGTTCGTTGGTATTTCTTTTGGTTGGTAGTTGGCCCGTTTTTTTCGTTCCTTTTCTTTATTTCTTTCTCTTACGAGTGGTAGGCGTGTTTCCATGTGCGTGTGTTGTTTGAGTTGTGCTTCTTTACACTCTTTTTGTGACGGCTAACATGCAACAAATTGTTCGACAAACACTTTACTACGTTATAAATATGCCGTACAAATCTTTTACACATACATACACTACGCCGTGTCTAACTAGAGGCGTTGTGGGCGTGTATAAAATGCTTGTTGCTTTTTGCTATGCTAATGTGCACCCGCACCACAGCCTCTTGGTTTCGATATATTTGTGGGTATATGTGCATTTCTAACACCCATTTGAATGGATTTTTTAATAATATTTTTTTGTCGATTTTTTTTTTTTTGATTTTTACTACGCCTCTTTGGTTTAGATTTTTTTATTTGGTTGAGCTCAGCTCAGCGCTCTACAAAAGCATTTGTACAACGGCTTGTTCGTTCATTTGTTAGCTAATTAAGAAAATTAAAGCGTTTAGCACTAATGATTAATGACCTTAGAAATCTCTTTCGCTGTGGCTTTCAAATAATGCCCCACACGAGTAGCTATTGGAGTTTCTTTTGTGTTTCTAAAAATGTTTGCTAAACGTTAACATTCCAAGCTGCTGGATTATCTTGTAAGAGAGAGGAGTTTAGTTGGATTTATGGATTTTTTACATATATATACATATATATTGTCATATTGGCATGGAAAAATTATAAATAGTAACAAATATTATACTAAACCAGTTATTATGGCAACGATAATTCATAAAATAGGCACCGAAACTATGTTGCATTTATAGGCATTTAAAAATTTAAAATTTCAGATTTTTATTAAATATGAAATTAATATTATATTTAAATTATTTACCATTAAATAATTTTAAAAGCATTTTATTTCAAATAATATATTTAATATAATTGGCGCTTTGTAACTGCAGAAACCATTTTTTTCGGCCAATAATAATGTTTAATTTATATCTAAAAAATTGTTGCCTACATTTTGGCGCATTTCTTTACATTTTATTTCTCCATTGTTCTTACTTCATTTTTTCTTCCTAGTAATTTAATATCAAACGTGAAAGCAGAAATGAAATTTTATTCTTTAAAAAGCAAATTAATAACTCAAAAATGTATTTTTCTTTTGACTTTGAAGACTTTGAATACTTTATACAGAGAACATCGCTAAAATGTTGCCTCCATTTCGGCGAATCATGTAGTTAATTTGAAAGTCTTTCGCAGAATATGTACCAAATATGGCAAAGCGTTACTATATTACACAAAAATAAATAGCTATTCCGACATTGTTGCTTACTATTTATGCTTTTCTCACTTTTTTACATTCCTTTTATGAATTTTAATTTGCCACACTTACTAATAATGCCCTTTTCAATTGTCTTTCTACTTTTAGGCAGAACCTTGTGCAACATTGTCACACCCATAGAGCATGACGAAGCAGTTGTAAGAAATGCTATTTAAAGCAACTGCAAATTATTGTGGTAAGTTTAAGATTAAAAATTGTTGTTTCATTAAAAAAGTATGTAATATCGTTTTCAGTAGCATAAAATGCGCACAGAATGAATTTCTCTCTAAAAGACCGCGCCAAACAGTCATTAAATGCCTCTTAGTCCTTACGCATTTATGGTGCGCACATAACTTGCTCGACGGCCAAAAACGGTGCGCGCATCCTTGTGCAATGTCATAAAGTATAGCAAACACTTTGAGCTGAATAAACGCAGCAAGCTCGTTATAATGCAGCGCGTACACCTTCATCATTAAAATATTTTAAGCGCGCTTTAGCTTATTAGAAGGAAGAGCGCTCATGCGTGCAACAGCAGTGCCTTGTCATAAATGACGCGCCTAATTTTGACGCTACACACTACCACATGCGCGCTCTCACCTACTACATTTCTCGCCATTCTTAACTAATTTGCAGCTCGCAGATTTTCCGGCAGCACCTGCACACCAAATATGCGCACGTCACTAACTCTTCCACATATTTACTTAGCTACACTGGATTTCTGCTGTTTTCGCTAGCCAACTAGTCAATCTGACTGTCTAGCTTGTCCGCCCGACTATTGCCTACTAGAATACCTAGCAATGTCATGACCATAAACGCGCTTTCAGGCTTCATAAATCTTTCTTCCACTTTACTACGCTGACAATCAAACAGCACTGCATCTTGCAGCATGCTTACATATGTTTTCTACGTGAACAAGTGCAGTCAGCGCTTGTCACTATGACAGCTCATAACACTCTTAGAGCTATCTGTCACTGCGTTGGACTGCGCCGCCTGCAACTCACTGAAATGCGCGCGTCTTGACCAAGTGTTTGTGTGTTGGTGAAAAAAGTAGGCAACAATCTCACTATCACCTCCACCTTAAACTATTGCCAAGTAGGAGCAGGCGAGGCCAACAAGGCTGCCATCCAGTCAACTATCAAGCGCATCAAAGCGTCAGTGATTGCCTTGCCTGCTTTAGCTGGCCTCTATATGCGTCCGTGCTACAGTCAAATCAGAGGGCGACACGACGAAAAGGCGGAGAAAAATTCCGTAGTCTTCACCAAATACAGGCGCACAACATTGGTTTTGCCAGCGCGCGACCGACAACGCTGTGACAGTGGGCAGCCGAAGTTTCGTTGTGAGCTGTCCGCCCGCCGCAATGCAATTCACCTGTTGCTGTCGCGCTGGCAGGCGCGCCTTTCCAATTTTGGGTAGGTGATTCTAATCGTTGACTTTGTCATTTTCTTAAAAATACATATATCGCCACAAAAGCATTGTTTTATGTATGTGTATGTATGTATACATACAGCGATGCTTTTGTGGCATGTCGATTTTTACTTATTTGTCACTCATGGCCCGCCATAATAGGTGAGTTTGTTTGAGTGTATTGGTTTTTTCAACGCTTTTGATGCTATGCACAGATTAGTGACATCTCAAAGTTTTACTGTTTAATTTTCAACTAATTGAAAATATTTGCAAAACAACAAAAAGTGAGTAAATTAAATAACGCTGAGGCATACTTATTAAGGTAGCGCCTAGGTAATAGTTGGCATATTCGTGCAACAACAAATTGCTTAGCTAAATGCAGCTATCGAAAAATCATAAAATTATGGAATTGTGACAAGTAGCTGTCATCAGTCGGAATAATAATACCTATTATGTAGGTATGCTTTATATGCACTGACTTCCTATAAACGTGGCAATACACGCTGGAATTTAAGGCTTTCAGTGATTGAGAAGAACTATGTTAAACTTAAAAATAATGAGAATAAAAAAAAATTAAATTAAATAGAATTAAAAAAAATTAATAAAATAAAAACAAAGCAAAAAATAAAGAAAAATAAATAAGTATATATATAATTTTATTTATATTAAAATCAAATAAAATTAAAAGCTAACATAACTTAAATGAAATAAATACAAGGGTATGAGATAAAAAAATTAAATTAAATTAAATAAATTAAAAGAAAATCAACTGAAATAAATTAAATTAAAACAAAATTAAAATAAAATATAAAATAAAATAAAATAAAATAAAATAAAATAAAATAAAATAAAATAAAATAAAATAAAATAAAATAAAATAAAATAAAATAAAATAAAATAAAATAAATTAAATTAAAATAAAATCAAATGAAATAAAAAAATTAAATAAAAGGAAATGAAATAAAATCAAATAAAATAAAGTAAAATAAAATAAAGCAATAAAACCAAATAAATTGAAATAAAATAAAATAAAATAAAATGATATAAAGTTAAATAAAATAAAAACAAATGAAATAAAATAAGATAAAACAAAACGAAAGAAAATGAAATAAAAAAATAAAATGAATTGAAATGAAATGAAATAAAATAAAAAGAAAGAAGTCAAAGAAAATCAAATGGAATCAAATGATTAAAAAAATATATAAAAATAAAATAAATAAAATGATTAAAAAATAATAAAAAAAAATTTATACGAAATCGGAAATATAATAACATAAATAAAAAAATAAGGGAAACAAATTAAAATATATTAAAAAAAAAATTAAATAACCAAAAAGTACAATAATAATAAATAAAATAAAAACAAAATAAAAAACGCAAAAAATTACTTTAAAAATAAATAAAACTTAAAAAATATGTTTAATTTTTTTTTTTTATAATATAAATACATTTTTTTACAAATCGCCTTGAAAGCAGAAAAGGTGCATGCTGTTGACATGACTTGCCATTGAAAAATGCTGGCATCACATTTTTGGACAGAATGCCTGTTTTGTCATACCATATCTAACTATGTATGCATGTGTGAAGCTGCTGCTACGCATCAAGTATACTTTGATACACACAAGCAAGTTTTCACTGTCAAAGTTATTATATATTTTTTTATATTATATTCTTTTTTTTTTAATTTAGTTTAAATATTTTGATTTTATTTTATATTTTACTTACAGTTTACTCTTAAGTTCTATGTTTATGTACACGCTGCATGTATGTAAGTAAACCCGCTTTGAAACAATTGACATTTTGTCGCATTGATTTTGATGATTGCAGTCAGACAAACGCACACAAGATTGATTGCTTGTGACAGTTTGTAATTTTCAATGCAACGCTGATACAATGCAGCCTCCAATGCCTCCCTCTACTGCCATTTGCTCCCACTATAGAGCTAGGCGCGCGCTGAGTTTGCTGAATATGGCGGCAATGTTTATAGATGGTCTGTTGCCTGCTTACTGTGCGTTGCTTAGTACGAAAAAAAATGTGTAAAATATTGTTTGTAAATATTTTGTTGTTGTTATGTTTTAATAGACGCTTTTATTATATTTATGCTATAAAATATATAATATATAAAATATTTTAAGATATTTGTTATACTAATATTCGCTCGAAAATGTTCCAAGTTATATGTATAATTTGTGTGCGAAATAATTTTCGTGGAAATAAAAATACTGGTAAGACGTAAACTTAATTTCACCATTTTTGGTGCTGTAGTATTTTTAATTTCACACTTTACTTTTCATTTTTGTCTTAAAGTTTTTTTTTTAATTTTTTTTTTTTTTGCTGAGCTGCAGTTTTTGTTTTCCTTTTTCATGATTCAGTCAAAGTCTCCTCGTAAAAGTGAAATAAAAACGCAGCTAATAAAAATGTTTAAGTGTCTAAAAAAGTAGCGAGCAACGATTAAGGTCAAATGTGTGTAATTTGACTGGCAACAAAGCAGACAGCGCGGGCACTGAACAAAAAATATATACACATACATATATAAAACAAAACAGAAAAAGACCACAACACAAGTTTGTAACAAAGACAACAACATAAAAACATGTACGTGAAACTTACTTAGAAAAAAAAATTTTTTATTTTTTTTTTTATTTTTGCTTGTTTTTCAAATTATTTTTTTATGTTTTTTTCTCTAGGCGCGATTTGTTAATTTTCCTCATGTGCTTATATCTTATGTATATGTGTGTTCTAGTAGGTACATATTTTTTGCTAATTTTATTCATGTAAAGTTTTTAAGTAGCACAGTAAGTATACATATATGCACACACCCGCTCCCGGCAACCACGCAAATTTTCTTGCTTAAATATTTTTGGTAATAAAAATATTTTTTTCTTTTTTAATTTTCTTGCGCAAAAAGAATACTGTCGCCTGACAGTTGACAATTTTTAGCTGAGACAACAAAAAAGCTTTGTACATTGAGCAGTTGGTACTTAGTTTGTTAACAACAAAACTGCCAACAACTCACTACTAACAAGCCACAACAACAGCCACAACGTGGTGTTTAACATTTCATTTCAGTTTTCATTCACACATAAATTAAATTGTAACTACATTGGTTAATTGCTGTTTTTGTTGTCTCATATATAAACATATATACATATGTACTTTTTTTTTGTGGCAACAATGTACATTTCACTTCGGCCTCTTTGACCAAAAAACACCACATAAAACCGCAAGTGTTAACAAGAACGACTGCGCGCAAATTGCATCGCCCTCATTTAATGTATTTATGCTGATCTTAATAATTTTTATTTTTTGTTTTCACTGTTGCTGCTGGCGCCATCAACGAGGTTTATTAATGATTTTTTTTGCATTGATTGATATATTTTAATGTTGACGTTGCGCTCACTACTGCACTTTTTTTACATTTTTGTCACATATAAATTCTTCGTATGTTATTGGGCAATTTTCGCTTGATTTTTCTGCCTTTGAAATTCCTTAATTTTTTTTATCTTTTTTTTTCTCTCATATTAGAAAAAAATGTTTTCATTTTTAAAATATTGGAAAATTTCTTTTTAATTAATTCTTGTATTTGAAACTGAATTTTAACGAATATATTTGTAATTTTCAATAGTTTAGAACATTCCGAACTACTTTTTTAATTTTTTAAAACTGGATTTTGTGGGTATTGAACAGATCTAAAAAGTCATTCACTCTGCATGATTAAACAGAAAATTTTATTTGTACTAAAATGCGATTTCATGTTGGAATAAGATTTTAGTATGCGCCTGATGGTAGGCA